GAGTGACAGGGGTGAGCTTCTCACCCCCCTGATCGGCCCTGCTCTGTGCATGACAGGGGGGAGCTCCCCAACCCCCTGATGGGCCCTGCTCTGTGCGTGACAGAGGGGAGCTCCCCAACCCCCTGATTGACCCTGCTCTGTGCATGACAGGGGGGAGCTCCCCAACCCCCTGATCAGCCCTGCTCTGAGCCCGACCAGGGGCTGCACCTAGGGATTGGGCCTGCCCTCTGCCACCAGGGAACAGGCCTAAGCCAGCAGGTCGTTATCTCCCAAGGGGTCCCAGACTGCGGGCCGGGCTGAGGGACCTCCCCCGCAAGTGCACAAATTTTTGTGCACCGGGCCTCTAGTCTTAAAATAATTTAATATTCTATCAAGTATTTTAACTCACATATTTTAAAGTATTACTTATTAGCCTTAGCCACAAAATTATGAATCTTATAGTTGGTACAATGAAAACAGAAGAATGTACTTACAATTACAGGTTCTACTAATAGCCGAAAGAGCGTCCCTACTCGTATACTTCGACAGTTTAAAATGACACTGCCATAGGAACTTGGGCAGCTTAAAGATACAGGATCAACTAACGTTTCTTGAGCAATCACCTTGCGACGTTTTAGAGGTGTGTTGATAATAGAATTACCAAACTGAAAAAGAAAAAAATTTTCACTTAATAAAGTACTAAAACAAGGCTTTGAACCAAGTATATATATGCAGAAGACCCAATATGAGAAATGTAATTATCAAATCATAAGATTAATTTTACTTCAGCAGTGTCAGATGAAGTAAAAATTTTGATTTTATATAATAATAAACTCTTCAATGTTATATAGCTATACTTTATCTAGTTATTACATTAAAAGAATAGCACAACAGTGAAAAATGGTGTTCTGGGAATAAGACTGCTTGGTTTCAAATCACAGCCACACATCTTTTAATCTGATTTTGGAAACTTAATAACTCCCTAAGTTTTGGTTTCCTAAATTGTAAAATATGAAGAGTATCTACTCAAATGAGCTAAGGCCTATAAACAGCTTAGCACAGTGTTTCATGCACAGTAAAATACTCGATAAGTTAGCTAGTAACAGTAGTAGTGGTTGTAGAACTTGGGGTTAAATCAACAATTCTTTAGCAAACAGGTGATTTAAGGGTATGGCTATTTGCATTAATAAAGGATGCTTCTTTATACATTAAACTTTAACTAGTTGATTTATTAAATAGATATATATTGGTTAATCCTCACCTGAGGATATTTTTCCCATTGCTTTTCCAGAGAGTGGAAGGGAGGAACGGAAGAAGAAAAGGAGGGAGAGAGCAAGAGAAGAGAAAAACACTGATGTGAGACACAGCAACTAGTTGCCTCTGGCGTACGCCCTGGGGTGGGGAGCAAACCCACAACGCAGGCATGTACCCTTGACCAGAAATCAAATCCAAGACCTTCAGTGCTCAGGCCAACTCTCTAACCATTGAGTGACACCGGCCAGGGCATAAAATATTTATCCTATATAATAAAAATCTAATATGCTAAGTGTCCAGTTGTTCGGTGACTGGTCCACTTTTCAACCAATCAAAGTTTAGTATGCTAATGATATGCTAAGGCCTCTCAACTGCTCGCTATGACTTGCACTGACCACCAGGGGGCAGATGCTCCAACTGGTAGGTTAGCTTGCTGCTGGAGTCCGGCCAACTGGGACTGAGTGAATGGGCCAGACACACCCTGGAGCCCTTCTGCAGTCCCTCCCAGGCCCAATCGTGCACTGGTGGGGTCCCTCAGCCTGGCCTGAAACCTCTCGCAATCCAGGGCCCCTTGGGGAATGTTAGAGAGCGGATTTCAGCCCGTTCCAAAGATCACTCCAAGAGGATGCCAGACAAAGGGCTCATGGATGGTGAATGCTGCTGTGGCAGTGCGGGCCTCTCCTGATTGGGACTGATTGGGAGCAAGCCCACGAAGACACAGTTTGACCAGGATGAGCAGGAGCAGCAGGCCGCTTTTGGACTGCGGGTTTTGGCCTGATCTCCACAGGCCACCCAGAGAGGCCCCACCCATGCACGATTTCACGCACCAGGCTTTTAGCATAAGTATAATTTAAATTTAAAGTAATTAGTTATATTAAAAACTTTATTATCATCACAAGAATAAAACATTATCCTGATAAAAAAAAAAACAAGAGGGAAAAATGTTCAATGCGTAGAGATAAGCACTATTCTCATTATTCCTATAGAGACATTTCTGTGATCTATGTCACAGGAAAAAAAAATAAAAAATGTGATGCACACACATTTTTTCCTGTAAACTGCTCTTTCAGTCTTATTAACAGATTTATTATAAATATTTTCCCACATATTAATAGTAACATATAATATAGATTTAAAAACTCTTTTTAGCTTTAGAATTATTTCTTCAAATGACATGCTATTTAGCTCAACAATTCTATATAATAAAAGCCTAGGTGGTATCATGCATGATGCACCACAAGATAGCCACCATCATGTTGTCACAAAATGGCTGCCACACGATGACTGGCAGGGGAAGGCAGTTGTGGGCAATTGGGCAGACAGGGGAGGGCAGTTGGGGGCAATTGGACAGACAGGGGAGGGCAATTGGGTATGACCAGGCTGGCAGGGGAGGGCAGATGGGGGGACCAGGGCTGCAGGGGAGGGCAGTTAGGGGCAAGCAGGCCAGCAGGCAGAAGCAGTTAGGGGCAATCAGGCAGGTGAGCGGTTAGGAGCCAGGAGTCCCGGATTGTGAGAGGGGTCCCAGATTGTAGAGGATGCAGGCTACGCTGAGAGGGGCCCCCCGCCCCATGCACAAATTTCGTGCACCAGGCCTCTAGTAAGTAGATAAATAATTTAAGAAGTGCTCCAGCTAAATCCATAGTAGAGACTGAGTCTAAAACTAGGGTAGCCCATACTCTTCCAAGGAGCCTCTAAAAGATCTCTGAGGAACCCTAACTGTTCAATGTTCCAGTTCAAATTGCCTTCCAGAAGTTATGTTACCAATTTACCTACTCAATACTCCATTCCTCCAAACACTATCCAAAATGAGATACTATTATACTTGAAAAGTGTTTCAGCACTGACAGTTAACAAAATATATTGTTTTAGTTTCATTTTCAATACTTTACTACTAGTTTGAACTCTATTCATTTCCATTAGTCATTTTTCTATAGTTTGTTTCTATTTCTTGATTTTTTTAAAGAAATTAAAAATATATAAAGGACCAACTCACACTGTCGCCCAGTTCCTTATTTTTTCTTCATTTGCATTTACCTATCAAATTATTTTTATGATGTTTTGCTACACTGTTCTGTATTTTTCATTTACTCAAATATATTCATCACTTCATTTGCTATTATTGCTTGTGCAGACACATTTGGAAAGGCATCCTTCAAGATTACATTAAAAAATATTAATCCTTATTTTTTCTTTTATCTTTGTAATTGCTCTTTATTTTAATTCCTTATGGTTTCCACCTTAACAACCAAATATGTATGTTCCCATATTTTTATCTATATTCCTGTAATCCATGACATGTATATATAAACCCATGTATAATTTTTTCATCCTTACCCAAGGATATATTTTGATTTAAAAAAAAAATTTTTAGAGAGAGAGAGTGGAAAGGGACAGAGAGAAACATTGATCAGCTGTTCAAAACCTGAACCGCCCCCCCCTCCCCAACTGAGGATCGAACCTGCAATATTTTTGGTGTACAGGAGGAGCACACTTCAAATCAGGGCCCCATATATAATTTTTTACAGGTTTTTGAAAATCTTTTTTTATAAGTAATTTAAAAAAATAAGAAAATATGCACATATTTCTGCAACCTGGTATTCCCATTTAACAGTACCAAGTAGAAATTTTAAGTCATTAATATAGTTTTAATTTTTTTTGTCAGTGACTGCACAATAGTCCATGATGTGGATATACCATAAATTCTTCATCCATTTCCATATTAATGGGCAATGATTTTGTATGCAGTTGTATGCCAAGAATCATTTTTATACATACATTCTTATGTACTGGACAGAAAGATTCCTTTGAAATTGAGTCTAGGGAATGAATTATTTGGTCATTCCATATACATTTAAAATTTTTCAATAGATATTTTTTACACTGCTTTCCTCAAAGATCCTAACACCTTTCTTTTCCATCAGCAAATTACAAAAGTACTCTTTTCCTCAGATTCTTGCCAGAAGTTTATATTAACTGATTTTGTATTCATTTTGAAAGTTGGTTTAGAATATGATTATTAAGTGGGGCTTAAAATGCCATTTGAAAGATTATTTGGAAGAACAATCCATTAAATCGCAGCTTAAAGTGTAATCTATTCAGCAAGAAGAAATTAGTGTTACAGCAACATGTAAGTATAAATGAGTATATTTTATACTTGTATAATTTGGGAACAGGGAGAAGTCATTTTTAACGTACTTATTTGTACTTTTCATGTGGTAGCTTATTATCTGAATTTTCTTTGTCTATTCCTTTTTTTCACTTCCTTTTTTCTTCAGTCTTTAAGAGTTCTTAGTCTATTACAGATATTAACATAATATATGTCATCTGCATTACAAATATTGCTCTGAGTCTATTTGCCATAATTTTTATCTTTTCCATCTGAACATTTTGAAAATTTTATAAGCGTAGAACAATAATGTAGTTGAATATAAGCAAGTTAAAAATGATTTCTCCCTGTTCCCAAATTATACAAATATACTTGTTTATACTTACTGCTGCTGTAAGAACAGTATTTCTTCTTGCTGAATTTACACTTTAACCTGTGATTTAAAGGGTTGTTCTTCCAAATAATCTTCCAAGTGGCCTTTTAAGCCTCACATAATGAATAATTCATCTTTTTCTCCTATTAACACTGCCAAATTACCCTCCAAACAAATACATCCATCCCAAAGGTGAGACATAATCTGTATATAAATATCAATAAATGTAAAAAGTACCTGATCTTTCATTCTTGCTTTTCTTGGCAACGGAACTGTATTTAATTCTGAATCTGCTGGAATGCTTCTTAGTTCATGCTCTACTCTACCGGTATTTTCACTTAGTGCTGCTTCTACTTTTCCAGTGGATGGTGCTGGGGAAGAACATGCTGAGTCAGCAGGTTGAGGAGATATGCTCTCTCTTCTGTTAGTCCTGTCATTGTCATCATCATCATCACTGGACAAAATGACTATAAAAAATGTTAAATACTTCATGTATTTCTTTTCTGGCAGTTAAAAATATAAATATATTACCAAAATGGGGAATATACCAAATCTGCTTTGGATCTCCTCCAGATCTGAGATTAATAAAAACAAATGAAGATATAATCCACTCTATCTGGTGAAAAGTTAAATTTATAAAACACTTAAAAATAAAGCATAGTAACTGACATCTTTTTTTAAATAACATAGAAGTATGAAATTAATTCTATAGTCCATCATCATCACCCACAAAGAAACATACACCTAGTTTAAATGTTTAATCAGTAGGTCCATTTCAAAGTTCCCAAAAGCTAAAGTATAAAGATACTTTATGTATATATCTTACCAAAACCATCCCTATATCATAATTCCTCAAAGTCGCCCACATTGCACTTGTGTCAAATTGTTCAAAAATAGCATGAATTTTAAATATGTGTGAAACTTTATGTGACTACATAATTTGATCTCATACAGGAAATCACTAATTGGTCCTTGGAAGAACTTGGACCAGTGCCTAATCCTCAATTAATCTTTATGAATAAATGAGCATGGGCAAGAAAAGACATTATGAAGGTAATTTACTCTTATACCTTGTACTTATTATTAAATTAGAGGTTTGGTGCATGGATTCATGCACTAGTGGGGTATGCGGAGACTGGGCCTAAACCAACACTTCTAAGCTGCCTACCGCTCCTGCTCATTCTGGCCCTGCTGCTCCTGCTCGGTAGGCTCGCTGCCACTCTGCAGCGCTCTCTGGGCTGTGGTGACCAGCCGTGAGTCCTACGTCTGGTGCCTGCTGGTCAGCTGAGCGGTGGTCCCAATGTGGGAATACACATAGCGACCAGTCGACTGGTCATATTATAGTTCAGTTGCTTAGGCATATATATATATGTGTGTGTGTGTGTGTGTGTGTGTGTGTGTGTGTGTGTGTATATATGATTTTCGTTCCCAAATTATACAAATATAGTCGTTTATACTTACTTGCTGCTGTAACAACGTTATTTCTTCGTGCTGAATTGTTATGAGATATATATATATAAGATATATATATATATCTTATCAAAACCATCCCTATATCATAATTCCTCAAAGTCGCCCACATTGCACTTGTGTCAAATCCTAACTCCTTATTCTGGTTTATAAATGTACATAACCTGGCCCTTTACTACTTCTCCGACTTTCTTATACTATTCCACTTTTCTTCCTTTATTCTCCAGACCAACTAGCCATTTATTCTGTTCCTTAAATACCCACAAGCTTGTTCCTGTCAGTATTTGATGCACTTTTGGCATCAAGTATTAGCTTAAAAATCACCTTTTGCTCGACCACACAATCTAAAGTAAGTACATGAGCACTTGCTTATTTACAACAACTATGCTCCAAAAGTCTAAAAAAGTGCCAGGCACAGAAAAAGCATACAAAGATCATCTGTTGAAAAATGCATAAACTTCTATATATTACTTACTCCATCTCCTTAAGCCTAGGTTGCCTCATTTAATTGTGAAAACTAAATTAAACAAATTAGCATATAAATCTTTACCACAAAGCAGGGAATATAAGCATGTGATAAGTGATATCTTTTATTATTAATATTAAACGCTTTTAAATATAACACTTTGTTTTTCACATACTTACAAGGAAAGTACTTAGTTTTTCTTTTTGGCACAAGGGAACAAATTTATATTTTATGAAATTAATTCATGGTTGTGGTTAAACTCTAAAAAGTAAACTGTTTAATAAACCTAAGAACCACATGAATGTATTTCCTTATGTTATCAGCCTACATGGTTGATGCAGACAAAATATTTTGTATTTTTTCACACATCAACTTATTAGCCTTATTAATTTCCAGTTCCCCTCATCTTGAAAACTTCCTCAGAATGTCATTTCCTATTTAAAGTTTGGCTCTGTAATACATAGTAACTGCCTAATAAGTGAGAGTTTTCTTCATATTTTACCATTATTAAACATATTAACATTAGAAAAGATTCAAATGATATTAAAAGTATTTAATATTACACTGGCATAACACTAAAATGTATCATAAAATAATCAAATATTAACATTATCATAATATCACAATAGAATATAGGCTGCACAGCCATCATACAGTATCTTTTAAAAAATATATTCTTGAGAGATAAGCTAATGTACTGGTACAGATTAAGTTTTTTAGTATTCCCATCATTAGTCAATGGGAGCTCTTTCATTTTAGCTCTTGTGTCCTTTGACGTGTCTATAGTAGTTTCTGACAGCTTCCATATATCACTAGATGATATAGGTTTATTAATATCTTGAGTAGGCAATTTCTCTGAGGAGCTCTGGTGGGAAATGATATTCAAAAATGCAAATATGGGAACTAGTGTTGTTTGTTTCTACATGAGAGTTGCTTACTATTTCTAGGCATTCTCTGTGGGTAAAGCTAGGAAATACTTATTTCCTTATTTAAGAAAAAATATGCAATAAGTTCACTTTATCTCTGATTCAAATTTAGTTACAAGATACTGATTTCTTTGATTTTACTTTTATATTCCTTTTTCTCTAACACTGAAAATCTTATTTTCTAGAGACAATCATACAATGGCTTATTTTCTTTATCAAGTGTTTAAAAATCCCAATACCAATATTAGTAACAATATTTGTGACTGCGTTTAGGATTTCCTTGTAGTTTTGTTTGACCTTAAAATATCTCACATTAGGATGCAAAACCACAGTATTATTTTAATTTAAATTCATCTGAAATAATTCTTCCATGTGTTCAAGCGACCAATAGATATATAATGACATTCATTTATTTCATTTTGGTTTTGATTTTAAATATTTGCAATTTAATTTTCTTTAATAATTATGTGAAATGTTTACATGGCTCCAAAGTCAAATCTATAAAACAAGTACATACGTAGACATCTAGCATCTATCCCTGATTCCCATACTGCTTCCTCCCCTTCCAACCACTTTTAAATTCAATTTCTGATATACCTTTTCATGAAAAACAAACAAAACACCTAGATTCATTCTCCCATCCTTCCTAAATAAAGGGTAGCATACTATATATTGATACTCACTTTGCTTTATTCATTTGGTTAATCACTTTGAAATCACCTGTAAAGTACTAAGTCATTGCTCCCCTTTTACAACTAGGTATGCTGTAGTTTTTTTCAACCAGTCTGAATGTTTCCAATCTTTTGTTATTTATTATATGACAGGACTATATTCCATATACACACACACACATGCACATGTGTCTGAAGAAAAAAAGATTTAGGGGGAAACAAAAGTGGTAAAGAAACTAATTTTCACTGAGTTCTTTCTATCTGTCCAATATTTTATTTGGCTATCCTAGGTACTTTATATGTCATTTTATTTAGTAGTAGAGGCCCAGTGCACGAATTCGTGCATGGGTGGGGCCTGGCCAGCTATTGGGGCCCACTGGGGTTGTCTCCTGCCCTGACTGGGGCTTGGGGCCATCAGGACTGGCTGGCCAGGGTGAGGGGCCATGAGAGGTTGGTGGGGCCAATTGGGGCTGGATGGCTGTGGGAGCATCTGCCCCTGGTGGTCAGTGCGCGTCATAGTGTCCAGTGGACTGGTCTGTTAGGTCGCTTAGGCTTTTATATGTATAGATTAACAAGGCAATGTATCCATTTACAGGTCATAGAGATTAAATTAACAAGGCTGTAGTTAGAAAGCTAGGAATACCTGGATTTGACCTAGAACTCTGTCCAAGTTCTGAGCTTTTAGTACATATGTGTGTGTATCCTATATAATAAAAGCCTAATATGCTAAGTGTCTGGTCATCTGTTCAACCAATCAAAGTATAGTATGTTAATGATATGCTAAGTGGCTCAACCACTTGCTATGATGTGTACTGACCACCAGGAGGCAAACCCTACGACCAATAGGTTAGCTTGCTGTTGGAGTCCAGCCGATCGGGAATGAGCGAGATGGGCCGGACACACCCTGAAGCCCTCCCGTGATCCCTCCTCAGCTGGCCATGCTTCCGTGTCCCTCCCCACCCCAATTGGGCACTGGTGGGGTCCCTTGGCCTAGCATGCGCCCTCTCACAATCCAAGACCCCTTGGGGGATGTCGGAGAGCTGTTTTCAACCTGATCCCGCTCAACTCAGGAGCTGCCCCCTGGTGGTCAGTGCGCTCCCACAGGGGAAGTGCTACTCAGCCAGAAGCCGGGATAATAGCTGGTGAGTGCAGCAGCAGTGGCGGGAGCCTGTCCTGCCACCTCCACAGCAGTTGGACATTCCTCGAGGGCTCCTGGGTTGAGAGAGAGTACAGGCCTGGCTGAGGGACCCCAGCTAAAGTGCATAAATTTTGTGCACAGGGCCTCTAGTCTACACTAATAAGAGAAACATGCAAATTGGTGTCACTCCACTACACCCACCAATCAGGATGAGTATGCAAATTAACCCAACAAAGAAGGCGGTTAATTTGCATACACAGGCATGGAGCAAAGACTGAAGACAATTGAAGACTGAAGAGGCTTGGCTTCTCCGCTGCAACTGGAGCAGAGAAGCCAAGCCTTGCTGTTGCGGCTGGAGTAGAGAAGCCAAGCCTAGCTGCAGCCACAGCGAGGGCAAATGCTCAATGCAGGAGCTGCACCCTGGAGGTAAGTGCGCTCCCTCAGCGGGCGTGCCGCTCAGCTGACCAATGGGTGCCAGACGCTGGGTATATGGCTGGTGAGCACAGCTGCAGTGGCACAAGCCTCTCCCGCGGACACTCCCCATATATATACCCAAGCGGTGGCGGTAAGCATAGCGGGGCCAGGATGAGCGGGAGCAGCATGGTGACCAGCCCGGGGTCCTCCATGGCTGCCTGTCTTTTCGTGCACTACTTCATACTGTGCGGGATCGATGCTGACAGCAGACTAGAGCACGACAAAGGTGGCACGTAAGGCCAGGCTGTGGTGGTGTGGAGGTCCACTGATACCCGCAGGCCAGGCCAAGGGACCCCACGGTGCACAAATCTGTGCACCGGGACTCTAGTTTATGATGTATAGGTTCAGATGAGTTATTATTTGCTAACTATGAGTACAATTTTAATCGTCTACCCAAAAAATAGTACATAACTGACACAAAACTATACTTCTCGAATATACTCATGTTCACTTTACAATGTTGGACTGATATAAGCAATACCAAAGGGAGTAAAACACTTACTTGGATCATTTAGGCCTGACAGGCTTATTTTCCTTTCTTTTAGATTTGTGGTCTTGGCTCCTTTTGCCCTAGGTAAAACGACTTTCCCATTAGTCTGTAAATAATTCTGTCTATCACAGTTTACAATAATATCAATTGGAACCTTTCCCACACTGTTGCCATAAAACTTGTTGGGTGTTAATGCTGTGTTTTGTGACTTCTGTCCTCCAGAATTCTGATGATTTGATGTTCTCAGTAATGGACCAGTTGATTCATTCAAAGTTATAGCTTGTCTGCAACTTCTGGGCAAATCCTTAGGAAAAAGAATATCACATACTTTGACATTTGGTCTGAATTTCTTTTTCTTGACACATGTTGGACAATATTCATCTGTTCAGAAAACTTAGGTTCCAAAAAAATAAAAGACTTTGGCATTTTATTTCAACATCATGGAACAAAATATATACAATATTTCAAAATTAACTCTCACTTCCCATGATCATCACCATGGCTACCACAAAAATCTGAATATGTCATATTAGTTAGAATTTAGCAGCAGAATGCTGAAGGAATTTTTGAACCCTTCACTCCAGCATACAAGGCATAAATAGTCTTAACACATTAAGTTCCATGTCTGTCACCAGTGACTGACACTATACTTTCAATCTGGACCAGTCAGTCACTGGTGCTGCCAGCATATTGGTGAAATTGGATATCACGGGCTAAATGGAAAGAAAGAAAAAACAGGCTTGTTGCTTAATGTGTTAAGGGGATCAATATCTAGTTTCACAATTTCTACATATAACCTTTATAAAAATCCAACATGATTATGCTATGTCAAGGAATCTCCTACCACAACTACTCTTCTCTTCAAAATAAGAATGCTAGCCCAGTCGGTGTGCTCAGTGGTTAAGCATTGACCCATGAACCAGGAAGTCACGGTTCAATTCCCACTTAGGGCACATGCCTGGGTTGCGGGTTTGATCCTTAGTAGAGGGTATGCAAGAAATCAATAAAAACATTTAAATAAAAAGCTAAACCTATCTTCCATTTAAAATATCACAAATGGTGTATTTCCTGGGGTATAAAAACTATTAAATCAAACCGAAGGACAACTTTAAATGTTGAAAAAAAATAAGTTATAAGTATTGCTTAACAAAAATTTGCAAGACAATTGATTTCTACGTCAGTGCTACCAAAATATTTTAATGAAGGTTTAATCTATGTTACAATTGTGGTATCATTAAAAATGTTTTCTGACAGAGTATCATGTGATTTGGGGCATATAAATTAGAAGTTCAAGGTATTGAGTGATAGTACTATAATATAATTCTTTCCATAGTCATGTACTTATTTTTGTGAAACTTATTTATGTACTTATTACCTCAGCATTTACATCTGTAAGAAGGAAACAGGAATAGATGTTGAATCAAGTCTCAGTATATAACATATATTTATCCATGGAGACATGAAGTAATAGAGAAAAAGTCAATGGCTCTAATTAAAAGATGCATTTCCAATAACTTTACGCCAAATAATTACTTATCAAATTTTGTAACATATAATTTAGATTAATAATTATTTTTTGTATATTATATGTATTTATACTGTACTAAAGGCCCCTTGCACGAAGGTGCAGTCCCTAGACCTGGCCGGCGATCAAAGTGCAAGCGTCTGTCTTAGAAGGGCAGGTCTCTGCTGACCTCTGGGCCCTGGGCAACACCTGGGCACCTGGGCCCCCACCTGCATGCGTCACAGCTCCAGAGTCTCCACACAGAGATGCAGAGATGCAGTGGCTGGATGCTGCGGACCGGGGCACAGTGTGGTCATCCTGGAAGCCAAGCGGGCAGCATGCTTTCTCCCGGCCGGCCTCACAGACCAGCTCCTGCGTGAACCAACCAGGAGCCCAACTGGCCCTTGCAGTCCCAGTGGCTTTAGCCCAGCTCACCCAGAAGAGGCTGCATGGGTGTGGGGTGAGCTCCTGGAGGGTGCCCAGCAACTGAGCGCCCACTGTCAGCGCCATGTTGCCAACACTTGTCATGTTCTGCACTCCTGATCGAACAATCACCAAAGGGGACAATTTGCATATTAGGCTTTTATTATATAGGATTGTTATTTTAAATTTAAATATAACTGATATTCAATATTGTATCAGTTTCAGGTGTACAATATAGTGATTTGACATTGAGATACTTACAATGTGATCATCACACTAATTCTAGTAGTAATCTGTCACCATGCCAACTTATCACATTATCAACTACATTCCCCTTTACTGTTTTCACCCATCCCTCCTTATCCTTACACTCTGGCAACTATCCATTTGATATTTTTTTGTAAGAGAAATACTCAGTATAAAAGAAAAATATTTTAATACTTTGAGCCTCATATCAAAGGAAATTAAGTGAACAAATATATGTTGTGACAATGAAATGATAGAATGAGATGGTCATTATCAAGATATATTATACCGTATTTGCCGGCGTATAAGACGATTTTTTGGCCCTGAAAAATATGCCTCCAAGTGGGGGGTCGTCTTATACGCCAGGTACACTTCAGAAAGACTGCCCATAGTGCTTGCCCCGTGCCACAGTGGCCTCCCGATGCCCGCCCACTTCATTCCACATACCGTTCACATCAGCAGCGCGCTGCTGGGTGTATGCTCGGCTGTTATGCGATTTTGCTGTTATGCGATTTTACCACACTTGCAAAATCGCACACAGCCGACCATACACCCAGTATGATAGCACAAAATCGCGAATCGCGATACCATACTGGGTGTATGGTTGGCTGTGTGCGATTTTGCGAGTGTGGTAAATTCGGGTTAACGTATATTTCTTTCCATATGACTTGAAGATCA